GAAACATGCATATCAAACAGATCACAGCTGTGTAGGAAAGGGGGTCAGGATTGGGATGATAATCTAAATTGGCTTTTTAAACACAGAAAACATATGTATATACTTTTTGTAATTAAACATCTCTAAGTGAAAAGCTAAATGTTTGATTGCAGCACTGTAGTGGCTACCACCTTATTGAATCTGTACTTATGAAATGCCACCAAATCAACATATAGCCAGGTGACATCTGAGGTCAGGGGCTGGAGTGGCATTAAGACGGTCAAAAAGATTTGCAGCAACATGGACAGACCTAGAGATTTTCATACTTAGTGAAGTAAAGCAGAGGAGGAGAAATATCATATGACATCCCTTATACATGGAACCTAAAAAGAAATGATACAAAGGAAATTAATTACACAACAGAGAGAGACTCACAGACTTAGAGAAGGAATTTATGGTTGCTGTGTAGAAGGGGAAGGAGGGGGCAGAGGGATAGTTAGGGAATTTGGGATGAACATGTTCATACCGCTATATTTAAAATGGATAACCAACAAGGACCTACTATATAGCACCCCAGGGAACTCTGCTCAATGCTATGTGGCAGCCTGGATGGGAGGGGAGTTTGGGGAAGACTGGATACACACACACACACACACACACACACACACACACACATATATATATACATGGCTAAGCCCTTTTGTGGTTCACCTGAAATTATCACAACATTGTTAATCAGTTATACCCCAATACAAAGTAAAGTTAAAAAAAAGAAAGGCAGAAAGTTCTTTTTCAATTTCATCTACACATTACCTCTTACTCACTCTTGAGTTGGCTACAGACCCTGCAAATGGAAATCTGATGGTATGGTGCCTTCTTTGAGGATGACTTCAGGACCCTGTCCCAGCTAATGGTCTTCCTATTCCTGATGCAAATGTATATACAATATGTCAATCTGTGAGGTTATGATTGATACCCTTCCTCCCAACCTTAGGCCACAGGGTGCTATGAGGGTGGTTACTCTTCCACCTGTGAGCCCCTTACTTTCAAGAGCAGGGCATTTATCCTACTTGCTGATGGCTGGTATTTATCATATGTCCCCTTTATACAAACTCGCTCACTAATGCTGATGATTTTCTGCAATATGTTTCAATGGAATGGATGAAGCCAGAAGATGTGATAACTCAACAAAAATCCCTTAGGGTGAGATGCTCTCAGGTAATAGCCACTGACAGGAACAACCCTCTGAGAGTGGAGGGGGAGCACTAGGAAGTAATGTTGTGATTGTGTGATTAATAAACATAATTGCATTGACAACCATTTATATACCCAGATACCTACTGCTGAGTCAAAGCTATGATTTTTCAAGTAGTCATGTATGGATGTGAGAGTTGGACCATAAAGAAAGCTGAGCACTGAAGAATTGATGCTTTTGAACTATGGTGTTGAAGAAGACTCTTGGAGAATCTCTTGCACTACAAGGAGATCAAATCAGTCAATCCTAAAGGAAATCAATCCTGAATATTCATTGGGAGGACTGATGCTGAAGTTGAAGTTCCAATACTCTGACCACCTGATGCAAAGAACTGACTCATTGGAAAAGACCCTGATGCTGGGAAAGATTGAAGGTGGGAGGAGAAGGGGATGACAGAGGATGAGATGGTTGGATAGTATCACCAACTCAATGGACAAGAGTTTTAGCAAACTCTAGGAGACGGTTAAGGACAGGGAAGCCTGGTGTGTGGTAGTCCATGGGGTCACAGAGTCAGACATGACTGAGAGACTAAACAACAATAAGCCTACTGCTGAGCCATTTATAATTGAAAATGTTATCTTATAGGGCATAGATGAAAACTTCCATTGAATAGAATATATAAATTACTCATCTCTGATGTTTTATTTTGTATGGGTTAGGATTTATTTGGGTTTCACATACTGAGTTCACCAAAGGAATGGTGAAATCTGTTTAGGAGTAGCTAAAGAAATCTAAGTGTCTAAGTGTGAGTGTAAATATTGATACATGTATATAATCATAAAATGAAAATACACATATATTCTTAATAAAGTGAAAAGTAAGGGTTCATAGACCTTCTTTTTCTGCCTTATTACAGTGGTTTTGGTAGCATTTGTTAAAATTTAGACCCCTCTGTACTTCAGCCTCCTGTTATTAATACCAAAGAGAGAACAGCATAACTCCCTTGACTAACTCAGTGGAAAAAAAAAATCAATTCTGAAATCAGCTTCAGAGGTTCCCAGTGCTCTTTACAATGTCTAAACATGTCTGTACATGCAAGTGATACAACTTTTTCTGGCATTTCTTCACCATTAAGTTGAGTGATTCCAGCAGCCTTTTTCAATTTTTCACATAGTACTAGATGCTCAAGACCTCACTGGCCCTTTGCTGTAAAAATGTTACTTGCATTTTTCTCAAATTTTGTGTTACAGTGCAAATAAATCATAGTTTATTTATTTATTCAATCATAGATAAGAATATTTGATGTGCATGTCTATGTTTTTTTTTCTCTCCTTCTGAAAAAAGTTTGAATGGAATGGATGAAACCAGCAGATGTGATAACTCAACAAAATCCCTTAGGGTGAGATGCTCTCAGGTAATATCCACTGAGTAGTATATACTATTCTGAGAGTAGTATATATTATTTTGGTGATTTTTTAAAAGTAAAAATAAAGTAAACATTTCAAATGCAAAAGTACATAAACAAGAACATGAATGTCCTCTCCTCTGGATGGCAGCTCTCATGAGCAATGAGAAGGGCAGCTGTCAAGCGGTGCTGGCCTACTGGTGAGTGCCTGCTTCCCCTCCCTCTCTCCCCTCTCCTTCCAGCCCTTCCCCTCTCTCCCTTTTTTCTCTTCCTTCCTCCCTCCCTCTCTCTTTAACTTTTTAATATCAGAATTCTCAAATATGCACAAATGAGAGAAAACAGTACAATAAATAGCCACACTTTCATTAAGTTACCTTCAAAATTTATTAATATGTATTCCTTTTCTAGGCTTCCCTGGTAGCTCAATTGGTAAAGAATCCGCCTGCAATGCAGGAGATCCTGGTTCAATTCCTGCATCGGGAAGTTCCAGAGAAGGAATAGGCTACCCACTCCAGTATTCTTGGGCTTCCCTGGTGGTTCAGATGGTAAAGAATGTGCCTGCAAGGCGGGAGACCTGGGTTTGATCCCTGGGTTAGAAAGACTCTTTGGAGGAGGGCAAGGCAACCCACTCAATATTCTTGCCTGGAGAATTCCCATGGACAGAGGAGCCTTCTGGGCTACAGTCCCTGGGGTTGCAAAGATTTTGACATGACTGAGTGACTAAGCATAGCACACATCCCTCTTCTAACATTTTAAAACAAATGTCACACATTAAGTATCTCTAAAAGATACTTTTCTTTTTTTGACCTAACCAAAATGTAATTATCATACATAAATATATAATACATCAAGTTAATACAATATAAATGGGACTTCCCAGGTACCATTAGCGGTAAAGAACCTGCCTGCCAATGCAGGAAACCTAAGAGATGCAGGATTGATCCTTGGGTCAGAAAGATCTCCAGGAGGAGGGCATGGTGACCAACTCCAGTATTCTCGCCTAGAGAATCCCATGGACAGAGAAGCCTGGCGGGCTACAGTACATAGGGTTACAAAGTGTTGGATATCACTGAAGTGACTTAGCACATTATAATATAAAATTTGGATTTAGACACAACCTAATATTACCTGTGATGGTCAATTCTATGTGTCAACTTGTATGGGTCTCAGAGTGGCCAGGTATTTGGTCAAACCTTATTCCGATGCTTCTCTGAGGGTGTTTTTGAATTAGATTAATATTTAAATCAGTAAATTGAGTAAAGCAGATTGCCCTCTCTTATGTGGGTGGGCCTCATTAAAATAGTTGAAGGCCTAGAAATGCTAACTCTCTTCTAAATAAGAAAAAAATTTGTCTTGCCTGACTGCCTTCAAACTGAACAATGACTTCCTTCTTGCCTTCACACTTAGATGGAAACATCAGTTTTGACCTTGCTGGTCTTCAGACAGGAACTATACTATGAGCTTCCCTGGTTCGCCATCAGTGCTCAGACTGTGCCTAGAAACAAACCATCTAATCTCCTGGGTCTCCAGCTTGCCAACCCCCGCTACGGATATCAGGATTTGAACTTGCCCACCTCCATAGCTGGGTGCTCCGAGTGCTTGTAACAAATCTCTTCATATACACATATATATCTCCAGTTGGAGACTGAAAAGCATATCTTTGGAAAATCCTGATGAATACAACACCAGTCACCAGAACATATTTAGTTTCCCAAATGGCTCAAAAATGTCTTTTGATAGATTGCTTGAATTAGATTCCAAATAAGTTTCACACAGTAGTTTCCTAAGTCTATAAATATCAGTTACAATTTTGGGAAAGTCACCACATGGTTTTCCTTTTTATGGTAATTCTTAAATAATATTGGATAAACCCCACAGCACAAATCATTCAACACAAAATTTTCAAATCTGATTCCAGATTTATAAAGATCAGAATGCATGTCTTCAATGCGTCAAAACTGGATAGAGAGAAAATGGAATACATTCCTGCTAACACCAGCATACTCTTGAAAGGTCAATGAGCTTCTTTTCTGCCTCTAGTTTCCACATCTATAAAGCAGGAAATGCACATGGGAAATACTTGTTTGACCTTCCACACAGGGATGCTGCCAGGTAAAAGGTAGCCTCATGTGATCAAATAGTTGTGAAATAAGGGATCAAAAAATGAAGCAATCTGTATATTATCATCATTGCTATCTTCATCCCAGTAACCTGTTTTGCTTATTTGCAACTGGAATCTTATTCTCAGATGGAATTTGCACTATTAATGCAAATTTGTGCTGATTAAAATGAATGAAAGTGAATAAACTGGTGCTATAATGAAACAGACCTTGTCTTTGGTCAGAAGTGATTCTATAAGTTTACTGCATGCAGAAAAGCAGCAGCAGATGACCTCCTCACGCCAATGCTTCAGGCACTCACCCAGTACTATTGAGGTAACTCTGCCCCAAGCTGCAGTCCTTTGACAGAGAGGATGGATTGAACCAAAAGGCTGGCAGGCACTGACCATTGCTGTGTCGTTCATAACCATAGTCACTGTTGGGGGAAAAAATGCGAGAAACCTTTCATTAGGTGGCAGTGTTACTGAGAACAGTTTAAGTCAGTCCACAGCCAACTTCTACCCTGGTCAATTAGTCAAAAAAACAGGCATTCACTAAATCAATGCCTTCCCAAAAATGCAATCTTTCTTTCCACGGAATATCTATCAATTACCCAAGAAAACATTCTACAGAATCCATTTTGAGAAATGCTAACTTGGAGGTGACAGGGACGCAGATATAGAGATGAAAGCTCAGTGCCCAGTGATTCCCATTAAACACCTTTCAGCCAGGAGCACAGATGTTGTTCTCATCAGGGGGAGACACAATAGTGACTGTGGTTGGGCCCAGAGAAAGCTATAATAGTGGAAGCCCAGTCCTCTGTGTCAACTGCATTGAAGAACCTAAGGCATCCACACGTGGCATAATCCTCATTAAAATGTGTTGTCTTTGGGGTGCTCTTCCAAGACGTCTGGATCTACCAAGGAGAGCTGAGCCAGGTCTCTCTGTGACCAAGCCATCTGCTTCAAAGGCACAGCAGGAAAAGCAATGTACTTCGGGAGTGTTGCGAGCATTCCCCCCAAAGGAAAACTTGGTCCTATTCAGTTAATGCCACCAATTGCTTTAAATTTTCTCTAGTTTGAAAACAGTTTTCTCTCAGCCTCCTTGCATTCTTGCCTCCAGGAGCCTCTGAGTCGAGGCTTGTGAAAGCCAAGGCTTTCTTGGCTTCTGAAAGATGAAGTTGGGCGCAGAGAATGGCAACACATTGTACCTCCTCATGCAGACAAATCGCAGGCAGCGATGGCAAGCACAGGTATGAACTGGCTCATCTGTGTGATGGAGGTGAGATGCTAGCACCCACAGGCTGCGAAAGAAGAACTAGGCTTGCTCAGGGGCCTGTCACCAGGCAGTCAGTTCTCAGAATTCTGCCCATACCAGCTGGGTTTGATTCTGATGCAACACAGCATGGGTAGAAGGACTTCCGGGACTCTGCCTACAGGACGTCCTGGGTTCATTTCACGAAATTGCAAATAACAGGCAAGGCCATCTAGCAGAGGGATGTCTGGGGGGAGAGCCAAACTGAGAGAAAACATTCAGGGACAACCACCTTTGCCAAAAAATCACTGTTTGGGAAGACCAAAGTCAAAGCTATAAGATAAAAAGTTAACTCCCCATGTGGATCCTCCTTGAATAGAGTGAATAAAGGAGAAGCAGCCAGGTTTCAGAAAGAGGCATGTGATGAATGACGAGCATTCCATGCAAGTTCTCCTGTGAATGTAGTTCAGGATGTCAATCCTGAAGGTAGGACAGAGAGGAAATATTTTTGTCATTGTAAGTGTTGTGCTGACTAAAAGGAAAGTCAGGGCTGGGGAGGCCCCTGCAGAATTCCCTGTGAGTCCCAGTGTAACTGAAGCTCTGTCTGCCTCCAGCTGAGCCCAGAGAGAGACAGAACTGCCTCTTGGCTTGCCTTCTCTACCAACAAGACAGGAATGGCCTTGGGTCATAGGTCTGAGTACTGGCAGCCAATGTGCCAGGACTGGCCAGTACTATTTATTCAGATAATGGTCCTAGAGATCTACCATGAGAGATGCTTCCTTTTTCTAAGTAATGTTACATGCATGTACACAGTATCTCAGCCCAATCACTGATATTCTGATGATCAGACATGTGACTGATGATTGGTACCCAGCTAATACTTTTAAGTAAATGTCTTTGTTTCTTACGCTGGTTAAGTTCAATCATTCAACACTGATATACACATTCAGCAATTGCTTTCTCTAAACCAAAAACATATAAATACATTTTAAAAAGGAGGAAGATAAAAAAAGAGACTGAAAATGGGATGGACATGATCAAGAGGGTTGGTTACCACCTACTCATCTTCAATAATCTTTCAGCCTCATCTGACAGTCAAAACTAGAACAAAGCAAGGACATCATTGGCCCCACAAGCTAGTTTTCTGCTTAACTAAAGCTCCAAAAAGCATGTTGTGGCACTCTGAGAATATTTAATGTCTAAATGTTGCATTCCTTTTCCAGTTTAAACTAGCTTAGTACTGGTAAAAGGAGAAGGCTCTCCTACTTCTAGGTTCATAAAGCCACAGATAGCAATGCCAGTGACTCCATCCTTGCACTGAATTCAGAAAAAATATTCCATGGCTTTCATAAGCAATAGTCAGCTAGAAACTAACTGAAAACCTCCAGGTATAGAAAATGCACTGCCCTAAATAACCATAATTTCACTACCAGGAATCCTAGAATCTAGAAAGATTTTTATCTTGAGCACACATATATTTGCTCCCTGAAACGTCCACTTATTATTTAAGTGGACTCAGGGTGGATCTGGCCTCTCTTTTTGCCCTGAGACCTATCAAATATGTGAAGATAATTACCAGCTATCTCCTGAGTCCTCCTTAAGCCTAAAGAAATCCCTGTTTTTTTCTGTATACACACACACACATAACCTGTAAGCCATGATGTCCCCACATGGTAATTCAACAAACATGAGGCTTGTCACTTGTATCTATGCATGTCACTATTCAAATCTAAACTTTCGTTAAGGCCCATGTGGTTTTGAAATATGCAATAACTACATGGGCTAACAGCACAAGCTCACCAGTCAAAATCAGCCTCTGTGCAGACACAGGGCTCAGACTCCATGGCTCCTGCATATTTTCCCTGCATGCATTTCCGCTCGGATTTTCTCTTCTTATATATCCTCTTCGCTCCCATGATGCATGCTTCCCCCTGTAAGGAGACAAGAATCTCACACTGTTGGCCCATAGGCATGACCTTCCCTACCCCACACTAGGACAGTCCAGGGAGATGGCCTTAAATCTTAGGGTAATCTGGACGTGGGCAGTCTGCTTTGTGTTAACAGCATTTTCTTTTCAATGTCTAGAGTCCTATTACAGAACATGATGGCAAAGTTAATCCTAAGATGCACTGAGAGAGTGTCAAAATGTCCTGAATTCTGTTTTCAGCAAATCCTTACTTGGCAAAGTGTTGGGTAGAAGGCTATGAGGGACACACAGGTAACTAAGACTCAGTCTGTAACAGTGTATTACCAACAAATCTATGGTAATTAAGTTGACTTTTTATGTAATAAAAGATTGGCACATGATCATTTATGTGCATATGAAAGAAGAATATTTCTAAGAAACATAAAGGTCCATTTTGCCTTGGTTTGCTATGCCTCTGCCCACACAACTTTACTGCACTGATTTTACATCCCTCTACAAGGTAAGCAGTAGCACTAAATTCAGTGTTTCTCCACAAAGTAAATAAACGCTTTGAATATTATAATGTCCGTGCACTCCAAAGGGGAAAATATCAGCTATGTGAATGAGCAATCCTTTCATTATTGAGCCTCCAAGAGAAGTGGGTGATTCTGGCTGATGTAGCTCCCATTGGCAAGCCCAGCTCTGTGTGTGTGTCCAAAGGACCAGACAGACTTGTCTAAGCTACTCTACACTGTCTTTCTTGAGCAAACTCACTTTAACCAGCTGCACTACACATCGGCACAGAAATATACAACTTAGTCTAGGTTTGGAGTATATGCTGTGTCACTCTCTCAATATAGCGATGGCTTTGCAAGCAAGGGTCCCAGCTATGTCCTTTGAGAGGCTGCCAGAATGAGTTCTGCCTTGGGAAATCAAGAGATGCTTTTATCCAGCATTCTATCAATAATATGAACAGAATAGCAAAGAGGTCAGGATGAAGGAAATTTTCCTACTAATTCCACATCCTTATAACACAAGAACCTTGGAAGGAGGCAGAAAGCACTACCTAGTCCCAGGGAATCGCAGCGGTGAGTGGCGGGGAGGAAGAATTTTACTGGCATTCCTCATCCAGCCTAATTTTGCTATTTTACGTCTCTGTTTGTGTTGCTAGATAAAACTGAAGAGCCTCTCCTCACCCCTGGCCCCACACCCTGCAACCAGATGACATGCTCAGATAAATTATGTTCGGCTCTCTCTGCTGAGTTGGTGTTTTGTTTTGAGTTGAAAGTCTAAGCCAAGCACATCTGAATTTTATCTCATTATATCCTAGTACAATAAAAACATGAATTACTTCACAACAGCTATAAGTGTTGAGTGTGTTCACTGCCATGGCACCCAGAACACGTAAGAAACCACCAGATGGACGTTTTTGCCCAGAGAACCCTGATTCCTGCCTTGAATGACTGGCTTTCCCCCAGTACTCTCTAGGCCTCCCACCCGGGACACTCACCCCCCTACCTGGCTGTGTAGCTGCCACGGTCTGTAGTCCTCCTCGGCACAGCGTCTATCGAAAATGGACTTGTAGTCCACTTTGACCAGCTGCCATTCGGAGCGGTGACTGAAGTGTCCAAACACTCTGCAGATGATACGAACACTCACAATAACAGCAATGCTGACAGTTACAACCACAGTTAGCGTTTACTGAATATTTACTATGAGGTTAGCACAATGCTAAGCATCTTATATCGGTCGTATTATTTGATCCCCAAAACACATTTCTGAGGAGGGTTGCTATGAATTGACTCCACTTTATCTGTGGGTAACCTGAGGCTCAAAAAGTTTGCACATGCTAAAACCAAAGACAAATCACCAAGAACTGGTAGAGTTAGAAGCCAGGGGTGTTAGACGAAAAGCCTGCTGCTATATACTGTAAACAAGAACTGTTGGCCAGAAAGAAAAAATAAAAATGAGAAAACAGTCACAAATCCTGCCTTCCATGCAGTCCAAGATTATACTTCCATGTTCTCTTGCTAATTTTCCTGGTTCCTGTGGTTTCTGTGCTATTTTTTCTTCCCACCATTCACAAGGAGAAGTAGGCAACAAGGCTGAAGAGTTATAATTATGTCCTACCCTGTTCATTCTACCTTCCTGACTCAAAGAAGCTCAGCTACCTAATGAAGTGTTTGAATCACCTATTGTCAATGTGAATAAAAGCTCCAAGGCAGCCTTTACAATCAGCTTTTTCCATCTGTGTTTTGTAAATATAAAAACTGAATAAAGACAAATTATAGAATAAATTGCTAACCCACTGGGCAAAAGTATAACTGTTAGGCATATTAATTTTTGTTGCTCTTTTCTATTGTTAAAAAAAAGAAGGAGAAAAAAAATCAGAAAATGTACCAACTATTCACTTTGATTTAAAAATGTTCACTGTCGACAGGATCAACTGCTTTAAAATCTTCCCTCTCTGTTTTCCACTTCTGATTTTCCAGGAGAAGGAAAAATCAGAGTTTCATATTTCAAATTCAAAGCTCATGTTTTGAAACCCACAGGCAGGCAAGCCATTAATCAAGTCTTTCACAAATTAATGATCATCACTTTCCAGACAAGAATGAGCGCAAATGTAATTTCACAAGAACAGACTGTTCTCGTGGTTCCCCTAATATGCCTCACAATTGGGTTAGGTAAAGAGCCAGGGAAAAATAACATCCTTTGTGATCAAGCTCTGTGTTCTGTCTTAAAGTGAAATCATTCTTATATGCCTGTGATTTTCTGTATATCAGCGTGTTTATTATTAAAGTTTTAAATTGATAGCTTTATCTTCTATTGAAAAAAAAATCACGTCTAATTTCCCTAAGCTCATTCAGTATAGGAAGAAATAGGCTGTATCACTTTGCTGCCAGCCCACAGTATAGGTCTCCTAATAGCTAGCAAAGAGCCAAGAGAAAATGGATGCCTGCATTGCTCTTTTCTTCTTTGCTAGGGAATCATGAAATCAGATGCACTGCCTTTGCTAGCAACTTTAAAACTGACAGCAGCAAGGCGAATAGGCTCAGCTAAAAACCACACGTTTCTGGATTTCTATTAAGACTAGAAGACAACATGGTTTTCCACTTACGTCATGATGAGAGTCTCTTCCCCAGGTTCACCCAGAACCCCATCCACAAAAAGCGGAATAGATGTGAAACTGTATTTGCTCCAAGATCTCCCTTCATCAAAACTCAACCTGATGACAGAAAAAAATAACAGTCATTGGACCTCAAAAGAAAATCCTTTCAAAGAAAAGATACTATCAACTAGGACAGAATTTTAGAAGTACCTGGGGCATTGTCAAAGTGAGCCTTTGATATGAATAAGTGTTCTTAATTACATCAGAAGGTGGATATACAGCTAGCCAAGTGATTTGGGGCCCAGATGTATTATAACATCAATCAGTGGAGAGCTGTGTGAAACGGGAATGGTAAGTCACTGATAGAATTTTTTAAATTTTGGTATCTTATTAGGTCTTAGATCTCAATGTGACCCTCTCTAAAACCTTGCTGTCATGTAGCAGCAAGCCTTGATTCTGAGAACAGTCACCTTCTGAGAGCACTGCGATGGACTTGAATCAGCCACCTCCACGGGATCAAACCCTTAGTGGTATCCTTCGCACATTGTTACGCATCCTGGTTGACCCTCTGAGTGAACGGGTGCAGAAGGACAGGCTCTTGAAAGTAAGAGAGGACTATGCAACTCTGATGGTCATACAGGACGTTTCCTTTCCTCTGCCTTTCTCTGGGATGCCTTCCCTCAGGCTAAGCCTCTGGTTCTCTTATTTCTGCAGCTTTCCCTTTGGTCCACCAAAGTAACCAACAGTGGAGGGAAAATCAAGCCTTTGACTTTGAACGAGCTCGCCTGTGGAGAGAGCCATTTTCAAAAACACAGATAAAGGAGTCTATTGAAAAACCCCTCTGGAAGTTAGGCCTTGCATGTTCATCTGTAGAAGACCTACAGGGAGAGTTTCAGAAAACCACCCTCTCCCGCCTGCAAAAACGAGGCTAAATGAGATCAGAGCAGAAGTGACATGCACTGCTGATCTCTGTGCAGAATGAACAGAGTGAATGCAAATATTAAACTCGAGGAGACAATATTTGGGATAGGTGGCTGTGGGAAATTAAGCTATTCAGAGATTATCCTTGACAACCATTCTACCCATGACTGTACTGAAAGAGTGAGGTGCTGGAGGTACTGATGGGAGAGAGGGGCGCTCTCACATTCCAAAACCATGTATAATTCCTTTCTAAAGGGCAGAAGCATGCTCCCTTTCTCTTTCTCCACCCCCGCTCTTGTAATAAAGCAAAGGTATAAGTTCTAGTCCAGCAGACCATGACAATTTACTACAAGCACAGGTTATAGTCTGCCAGCCTGGCTTAGCCTGGTCTCAGCTGTGTGGAACCAGTCCTCGGTACAGGATTGAGGGGCAACAGGTGTCTTTACCAGAGATGTCGAATTGGGAGGGATGTGTGCTTCATAGCAACCAGGACTCCACCTTGATCCAGATACAAAACACTGTGCTCTTCTTCAAATATCTGGAAGAGGAAAAGCACATACACAGCCGCTCCCCCACACCCAGGGTTCAGAGAATTAGTCTTCATTTGAGGAAAAATAATCTCTCCATGATAGAACTGGGTTCCCCCAAATCTGTGGGGAGACACAGTTATGAACAATGCTTCCTCAGGTGGCTGACATGTACCACTGGAATTCCATAAAATGGTTTTAGGTACTCCACAAGAGAAGTTTAAATAACACCTAAGATTTATGTGTTCATATCTCTATTCCTGTCATTTTGTGGTGAGCTCTGTTAGGTTCCATTTATGATTATGTTGACATGTGGGCAACAGTCACATCGGGTCACACCTTTAGACCAGAGAAACCATGAAGACACTCTATTCCAAGGCTCTCATTTTCACAGATGAGAAAACTAAGGTTTAGAAAGAAGTGGTAACTTGCCTAGGACCAGGTAGACGATAATGGACGATGCCAGGATGGGGTGAATGACAGTGTCCTTTCCACATGCAATTACTTCAAAGTTTCCAAGTGTTACAGGGGACAGATTCTCTAGCCAGTCATAGAGTGAAGAAATGAAGTCACTCAGTCGTGTCCAACTCTTCGCGACCCCATGGACTGTAGCCTACCAGGCTTCTCCGTCCATGGGATTTTCCAGGCAAGAGTACTGGAGTGGGTTGCCATTTCCTTCTCCAGGGATCTTCCCCACCCAGGGATTGAACCCAGGTCTCCCGCATTGTAGGCAGACGCTTTACCATCTGAGCCACCAGGGAAGCCAGTCATAGAGTAATTCTGATCAAATGAAATCATACCTTTGGGTACATTGTCACTGGGTCTCTCTCTGTATGTGGAGAGAGGAATCTGAGGTCAAATAAAGACTGGCTGGAGACAATTTCTAAGTCCTCTCCATACAAAATGCATATTGTTTTCTCACAGTCACTCTGTTAGTATAGCCTTGTCTGTGATTAAACTATAAATATAATTGTTTCCACTCTGTCTACTTCTTACAGTCAAGATGTACCCCAGGACTATAAGAGAGACTTATTTGCTTTGTTTGGGATGTTAGAAGGAAAAAAATGTGACCCTGGCTTTCTAACTATTGTCCATAGGAACTTTAATAATGCATGTTCCTATGTATATCCATGGAGAAGGAAATGGCAACCCACTTGAGCATTCTTGTCTGGCAAATTCCATGGACAGAGGAGCATGGAGGGCTACAGTCCATGGGATTGCAAAGAGTTGGACGCGACTGAGTGACTGAGCATGTATATCTCCAAGATCAAAACCCCTGGAATTTCTTAAGCAAGTTTCTTTCCTGACCCACTCTTCTCAAAACATGTGAATCAAAGTGCAGATCTCTGAAGCTAGGAGATGGTAACTAGACTGTAACATGGACATCTCTGTCTAAAATTTAAAGTGCAGTGTTCTCACTGCTGTGTGATTACCTGTGCATTAGATTTCAATTTATGGTGCTAGTTATTGTATGATAATTAAATGTCAGTGGCTTATTAAAACATATTTATTGAAGTGTAACAACCATGCATTAGGCACCTATTTTGTTAGGACTGTTAAACCTCATTAAGCGCCTGTTTTATAAGCTAGGAGTATCTCATTTTCATTCAGAAGAAAGAGGAAGCATTTAAGCTAAACACACTGGTTGAAAGTGATTCCATTTCTACTTTCCCTAACATATGCGCCCTGATGGTTATTACTCTGTCTTCTGCACATGAGCTTTAAACATCTCAGAGCACCACCTGGGTAATTGTTTTCTCTGTATCACTGCATTCTCCTCTATTCTGACTTCAAGGCAAGAGAAATTTACAGAGGCAACCCGGCATTAGATAGATAATCTCCCGTCCAGGCTTCATGTTCCCTACATAATAAACTCTCTAGAATTCCAGCTTTCTTTTAAGGGGAAAATTGAGTCATATCTAATTTGGTTTCATTGTTACTTATAAACTTTCTTACATATAGGCTGTGATAAAGTGTCATTTTTTTTAGGACTTTCTTGTGGCTCAGATGGTAAAGAATCCTCCTACAATGCAGGAGACCCAGGTTCGATCCCTGGATCAGGAAGATCCCCTGGAGAAAGGTATGGCAACCCACTCTAGTATTCTTGCCTAGAGTATCCCATGGACAGAGGAGCCTGGCGGACTACAATTTATAGAGTTGCACAGAGTTGGACATGATGAAAGTAACTGAGCATGCATGCAAAGGCTCATTTATCAAGCAAATAAATAAAATTTCATAAATATTTGCTGAACTCAAAACTTTTGTAAGCCATGCATAAAACAAAAAAGGGAATAAACACATAGAGAAGCTTTAGGATTTATGTGTGACTGAATAAATTCCCAGAACTGAAACAAGCTGGATAATTTTTAATACATTTAAACGCCAGTAACTTAACCAGGATACTTTCTTACCTGCCTCCAAGTGTTTCCCGCATCTGAAGAGACAAACATGCTGATGTCACTGTCTGACAACTCAGAACCTATATTACCTGGAGAGAGCACATCACCATTAGTGAAGAGAAGTTTCTGCAAAAGCTAACGACGGGCTGTGCTGGCAGTGGGCACTGCCTGAGGTGGATTTAGACTGCAAACACTCTATCTGAGCAGGGTTTTTCAGCATACTTGCTTCAGGGTCAGTGGCTTAGGTGCCTTTCAAAAATATTTTTAGCTTGCTCATTAAGTTCCAAGCACAGCTACCTGGCTTCTTAAAATAAATACAATTTACAGCAGTGAGCAGACCAGGCAAGCTGCTTACCTGAAGCCACTATGATGCTGGGGGCTGTGTCTCGGCTGGCGATGATCCCTGACGTGTAGGGATTCTCAGAGACCTTAAGGTGAAGGTGTAGGGAGCAATAGGGCTGAGAAGAGGAGAAATAGGATCATGAAAGCACACCATCTAGATGGTTGTTTAAAGCTCAGATTCAGAGCTCCTATCCATTCATTCAACCATCCCACACATCCGTCACCCATCCATGAACCCATCCATCCCTCCGCATTTCATTCCACAGATATCTGGTACCCACTAAGTATAAGACAGCTGCCAAACTGTTGAAGGAGAGAGCACTTTCACTTCAAGTCTAGTCTACTGATATAACTCCCATTTGGACATTCGACAAACATTTTAATACTTTATCTGTAAAGCACATGGTGTAGTTTTATGAAAGGCTTAACACTGACTATAGAGTTTGGTCTCTGCCACTAAGGAGTGTACAATTTAAGATCTTTCTATTGATTACCATAAAGAGACTATATTTTAACAGCCATGAGATAAGTACAGACAAAATATGAAATTCTAGGTGATAGGAGCCTATGTTTAACTTCAGTTGAGGGGAAATTTCAAGGAGAAAAGAGTGAGGCAAAGGTGGGTAGGATTTGAATTGCAGATGAGATGTTCAGAGGGATAAAGGACATTTCAGGTCTGAGCAATATCAGTAACAAAGAAAAGGAGCAGAAGAGTGGAGCTGTAATACAACAGGTAGTTGGGTAAGATCAATGAGGAGAAATGGGGTTTGAGATTGGACAGAAAGCGCAGCCAGGCTAGGGGGGACTCTGAAGAAGCCACTCGTCATCTCTTTTTTTTTCTTTTTTTTTTTCCATTTATTTTTATTAGTTGGAGGCTAATTACTTTACATCATTGCAGTGGTTTTTGTCATACATTGAAATGAATTAGCCATGGATTTACATGTATTCCCCATCCCGGTCCCCTCTCCCACCTCCCTCTCCCCCCGATCCCTCTGGGTCTTCCCAGTGCACCAGGCCCGAGCACTTGTCTCATGCACCCAACCTGGGCTGGTGATCTGTTTCACCCTAGATAATATACATGTTTCGATGCTGTTCTCTTGAAACATCCCACCCTCACCTTCATGAAGCCTTGGATCTTGGTCTCAGTTCTGTAGAAGAAGCTGTATGACATGTGGAACTGTCCTTACATCCACCAGACAACTGACATAGTGTCTGTGTAAGGGTATTATCAGATCCAGTGTAACTCAACATAAAAGTTCTTGTAGATGAAACACACAAGTGACAATTTAAACGAAAATTTAAGAGACTTGTTTGTGCATACAAAAGTCGATCAAGTTTTCAGATGAAGACATCAACAGTTTTAAAAAAAAACAAAACACAGGATAATAAATCTCACACAAATTTCATTTAAAATCGTTCTTGTACTGAATCATCAACGACAAGTTTGTGACTGAACCCACGTCGCTTTTCATCTCTCAGGAAGATTATTTTCTAATCTTATCGACTTGAGTTTTTGAAATCACCAATATACCTCTGTTATTACTTTCATTCTGCTCTGTAAGTCTCAGCCAGCAGATATTCGGAGAGCGACAGAGATGCAGTGATTGCATTTAGATGGGATAGAGCAAATGGCAAGCTAAAAATGAAACTCAGAAATAAAAGCAGCCAAAGCACTGGTGAAATGACACAGTGGATCAAGACCGGGTCTCTCCACCACTGCCAACACGGAGTAAACTCGCAAGGAATGATTACCACAATAAATGGCTGGCTTTGCATGAAAATTTCATGTACAACTTTCAAAAATGGAATTCTTACTCTGCAACGTTCCATAAGGGTAAAGAAGTCCACTCCTATAAGAAGATAGAGTCAGACCCCAAAACTTGGCTGCCTTTTGTCCAAGAGGAAGATTAGCGAGGGTACCGCATACTACAAAGGCCCCAGGGAAGTGCTGACCAACACTCAGGCAGATGCTGAGACAGGATAACCAGAGGCCTCAAACCATGTGTCCATGAAAATGTTCCCGACAACTGCAACCTATCAGATCTTGCTTTCTCTGGTTTATCACAGCTAATTTTACCACACACAATCCTGGATCACTTCATCAAGTATGCAGAGTTTTATCTCCCTAAGAGACACACTCGACAAATAAAGAGAAAACATCAAGCACTACTTTACATCTTCTATAAAACCTCACATAGAACCTAAAAAAGACAATCAATACACACTTGAAATATCGCAACACTTTCAAGTTAGGGCATGAAAAACCTTACTTTACTGTTCTACCCAGAACAATGCCAGAAGTACATGGGTTTAGGTATTGTTATAAACCACATTACCAGAGTAATGTGAGAATCTCCATGGCATTCAAAGAAGTGATTACTACTATACTTAGACACAGGGGCTGAGTGGATGGCCTTTTGTACTAACAGAGCAGGATAACCCAGGCCAAGAGAGCACCCAGGTGGCAATCTTAAGTCAGCCACCGGTCACACGCTTCATCACCCTGCAGTCTGGAAGACTGTGAAGCTAAGTTGCCACCTGACCCAAGGATTATTTATGAGAGGGCACTTGCCATTACATAAGAAAGAAAGCATTTTCAATTGGGCATTTCAGCACTGCTCTGTTGCTACGGCTTTTGGAGGCCTGAGAAAAATTAATTTGGGAAGAAAGGACACCAGTACATGCAGTAGCAGCAACATTACAAACGATCTTTTGCGTGTACTTTTTTTTCTCTCACTTGCACATTTGTAGTACTGGATTGCCCCCAACTGGTACAAGGGAAATATTCTATGTTTTTTTTTTTTTTCTCTTTCTTCCATTTTTTTCAAGAAAGTTAGAAACATTGCAGAAAAACAATGTTAAGTGATTCATCTTCACTTTTTAAACTTAAATGTTTACACTTGAACAGTTTGGGATATTTATTAAAATGGAGTCACCAAAGATTGATAGAGAGGTTGTTATAATGTCTCTCAAACTACTGCAAGCTCCTGGAAAACATGAGACAAGGCATTCCAGTTCTTAGGCATATTTTGCCCAGGCAGGAGACACTGTCCATTTCTGCCTTCCTGCCTTCTTTTCTCCCATTAGGGAACATATACTGAGTATCTTTCCAGTTTAGTTCAGTGGCTCAGTCATGTCCAACAATTTGTGACCCCATGGACTGCAGCATGGAGAAGACAATGGCACCCCACTCCAGTACTCTTGCCTGGGAAATCCCATGGACGGAGGAGCCTGGTAGGCTGCAGTCCATGGGGTCGTGAAGAGTCGGACACGACTGAGCGACTTCACTTTCACTTTCATGCACTGGAGAAGGAAATGGCAACCCACTCCAGTGTTCTTGCCTGGAGAATCCCAGGGACAGGGGAGCCTGGTGGGCTGTCGTCTGTGGGGTCGCACTGAGTCAGACATGACTGACGTGATTTAGCAGCAGCAGCAGGACTGCAGCATGAGTTATCTCTAATTTAGTATGAGTTAAAACACAGCTTATCCCAAAGACCTTTATCTATTTCCCTTCACTTTTCATATTAAAAATCTACAAAACTATACACTGAAATCACCATGATCTAGGAGCTGACCTACAAGAACAGAGGGACCAACACATGTGTTTGGAAGCTGCCTGTGGTTCTGACTCACACATAGGCATAGAGCATGGAGTATCACCAGCTGGTCAATACCAGGAACAACTAGGTCCTTAGCCTTCAATCTTTCTGGGGTCAAGCACAGATTTTGAAATTCTGATGCAAACTGAGGACTCTTTCCCAAGAAAAATGCACAAAGGAAGCACACACAAAGGTTTGCATTCAAATCCAGGGAGTTCACATTCTCTCTCTCTTTTTTTTTTCATTTATTTTTATTAGTTGGAGGCTAATTACTTTACAATATTGTAGTGGTTTCTGCCATACATTGACATGACTCAGCCATGGATTTACATGTATTCCCTATCCCGATCCCCCCTCCCATCTCCCTCTCCACCCGATCCCTCTGGGTCTTCCTAGTGCACCAGCCCCGAGCTTGAAGTATACTGCAGACCTCTAGACCCCAATTACCTTATTTTGGCCTTATTCTTGTATTTCTTATTTTAGCCAATAAAATCCTTTGGCCACTGCAAGTGTTCAGTGAATGCCTGTTGAAGTCAATTGATCTACGAATGAACTGCTGTCTTCCTGGCACTGTGGGTGACCAGCAGAGAAGGGTTAAATGATCCAAGACATCCTACACACACAAGACACCCTACAGACACAAGACACCCTACAGACACAAGACATCCTACAGACACAAGGCACCCTACAGACACAAGGCACCCTACAGACACAAGGCACCCTACACACACAAGACACCCTACACACACAAGACACCCTACACACACAAGGCACCCTACAGACACAAGACACCCTACACACACAAGACACCCTACAGACACAAGACACCCTACACGCACAAGGCACCCTACACGCACAAGGCACCCTACAGACACAAGGCACCCTACACACACAAGGCACCCTACACACACAAGACACCCTACACACACAAGGCACCCTACACACACAAGGCACCCTACACACACAAGACACCCTACACACACAAGACACCCTACACACACAAGACACCCTACAGACACAAGGCACCCTACAGACACAAGACACCCTACAGACACAAGACACCCTACAGACACAAGGCACCCTACAGACACAAGGCACCCTACAGACACAAGGCACCCTACAGACACAAGGCACCCTACACACACAAGACATCCTACACACACAAGACATCCTACAGACACAAGACATCCTACAGACACAAGGCACCCTACAGACACAAGGCACCCTACACGCACAAGGCACCCTACACGCACAAGGCACCCTACACGCACAAGACACCCTACACGCACAAGGCACCCTACACGCACAAGGCACCCTACACGCACAAGGCACCCTACACGCACAAGACACCCTACACGCACAAGGCACCCTACACGCACAAGACACCCTACACGCACAAGACACCCTACAGACACAAGGCACCCTACAGACACAAGGCACCCTACACGCACAAGGCACCCTACACGCACAAGACACCCTACACGCACAAGGCACCCTACACGCACAAGGCACCCTAC